CGGTTTATGGTAAGGCTAGGTAAAATAATTAGTACTTAGTTGAATGATCGAGAGACTGAGAGGGAAAAATCATCGAACATTTTTACTAAATCATTTCCGATCATTTCCGACCGATCCTTCGATTGGGGTCGCTTAGTAACAAACAGTAATAACGAATGTGCCTCGTCTTATTTAGTTAATTCTAAGTTATTACATCTTGAAGCTATAGTTGCAGTTTGCCTTTCGACTCTTATCAATACTGCTATGGACGCGACAAGAGATGTCTGTAGATAGGACTCGAAATATATCAACTTTCCGAATAAAATCAATTAGTGCCTTCTGCGGCAATACGCTTCAGCTTCCTGGTAACGATATTCGAGACTGGCCATCTTGCCGAAGTTACACAACGCCTTTTTGCCGTGACCGAAAAACGGATTGGATTGCGCTGGCCAGGGGTTCATGCACCTAATTCATGTATCTGCTTATACAAAATGAAAAGCTTTGCAAGGAATAAAAGAAGTGTCGTTTCAGGATTAAACAAGACGAAACCTGGTTCTCGCTAGCCTGGACTAACGGAACCTTATGTTATGCGTTCACTTTGAATTAAGGTGAATTCATAAAAACTTTAATTGGTCCTCATAAGAATTGCTATTCACGTTTTGTCTGTCAACGTACTATGGTATTCTGTAAAGCAGGTCGAGATAGCTATTCGAGGACTTCATAGGTGAGGCTACATACGGGTCTCACCATCTTGTTCGCTATCGCGCGTAATCCACGCATCTACTTTAGTAACAGGTCACGCATGCATAACACAAAGAAGTAGAAACAGCTTTATTTAAGGACAAGCGGTGGACTCAGATGGTGTCCACAGAACCCCCTTAGCTAAGAGAAAATCTATGCCTTTCCGAAAATAGCAGAACCTTGCAGCGAACGTGGGCTACATTCGTGTCCAAGTACGTGCCCTGTTGAACCTGATTCCGACACCACTAATCTAACGCGTGTCAATGTAAACGGAAGAATAGAATAGTAAGTATATAATTCTGTGCGGTTGTCAAGAGGACTGGGAAAGGGTGGTCCGATTTGTGGACGGCATGCAACATGTAAAAGGATGGAGGGCCTTAGTGCTAGCGGTACGTCTGTCTGTTGGCACAAATCGGTCGTCATGTGCGAGCACCTCTGAATGTCTTTAGCTGTCTTTATGTTATTTGAACAAAGGTGATCCTCTTTTCGTTGGAGCTAGGAACGACGCTAGAAATACACGACATCTAGCGGAACCTCGAGGAGTTCTGTTTCTATTTCACCTCTGTTTGGGTTAAAAACGTCTAGTACTATGATGTTGTCGTTGATAAAGTTTTTTTTTAGCGGCAGGCAAACAATTCGACGCAGCAATGTATGCAGCGGCGGGCAGAAACATAGTCCTATAGACTCGAATCGTCTGCATAAAGATTTTGCACCTCGTAAACGTCGGTCCTTTACAGCCCCGTGGACTACGTGCGTCTGATAAAAAACGCTTCGATCTCTGCTAAAAAAAAAAAAAGAGATTCTAAATGCTTGAGCCCCACATTTCATCCTCGCAGTTGTTTAGTTGTTATAAATGCGAAATAGAAAGAGGGGTGAAGAGAGCAATGGTGTCGTTTATATAACTGTTACGGTCTTCAAAGTACTTAGGTGCTCGTACGAGCAGGTGAAACAAAGATGGACAAACACAATACAACTGATAATAACTTGCTCGGACTTATCAGCTTCTTGGAGGAGGGCTAAACACTTCTAAGTTTATACATCTCAAACACGTAAATAGGCCTGCGTACTAAAGTTGTTAGTTGTATTAATAACATTGTTATTAACGGACGTTTTATACTGTGTGGTTTTCGCTGGGAGAAATATTCATAGTAATTGAATTTTTATTATGTGTGTGTACGTGATGTTTTGATTAACGTATAAATAGTACTACATTTAGTTACTGATGTGCACGCCCCCTTTTGCGATATCAGGTAGGATCTGATTTCCTTATGAGGGAATGGTAAATGGCTGCGATTGCGTTTATTACTTACATGGGGACGAAGACATGGGACGGCCGACCGCCCGATCCGAAGTTTCATCGTCAGCTTTTGCTCTACAGTGAAGCTCGCTGTTGAAACTGTAATCTGGCATGCGGACGAGGTTAAATTACGCAATGTCCTTTCTAATGCTTCCAATAAGCTGAGTAGCCGTTAGTCGAGTGAGTCCTAGTTCTACCTCGAATCTCACTGTACAATTTATTTAAATTGGACAAAATGATCTAGCTTTGCTAGTACGTATTGTGTTAGTACCTACCATATAATCAGGCAGATTTAGTAGATTACATGGCGCGGGGTTTATTTTATATTTCGTATTATATGTTTAAAATTAGGAATCTCTTAGGATAGTTATCAATGGTGCTACTTATCTGTTACTCTAACGTAACCCTTTTTGTTTCGAGTGTTTGTCATACGACCGTTGCAAACAAGCCGATATCTGACAAATAGAATGCTAGAACATTTAGAGACTGCAATTCTATTTACTTATATCGATAATCGGCGTTGTTTCCAGCCGTCAAATAAAATTCTCACAGCCAACTCCTAGTTAAACAACTCATCCTGTCATGACAATAGCTTGTAAATCCCGCCATTTCCCAGAAGCCCTTTTGCCGGACCGAGTTAGAAGCAAGCGAGCTAGACAAATCATCGTCATCATTCTGCTCTTGCGTTTCCAAACCATCCAGCGGATTCTGCCGGATACCAGTTTCAGTTTCAAGTGCGCACCTGTACCTAGTGCCGCGCTGTCGGTTACAGCTGCTTGTCGTCGATTAAAAGGTCGCAACAGCGGATCTTAAAAGCTAACGAAGTCTAGCGGTTAGCTGGACTGACCGAGAGTGTAGCAAATCCTATATTCATGCACACATACAGATCCACACCCAAATACAAGCCCAACCCGCTATGCTACAGGCGGCAGCAGTAGTAGTTAAATTGACGACGATGATTGCCGCCGCACACCCTCGCCGTTCGCTATTAAAAAAGCTGTGCGTTGTCACGCTGCTGTACAGGAGCGTCTCTGCTGTTGCTGATGAAAGGGCGGACAGATTCGGTGGCATCGACAGTGCCCACAGTGGCAACTTGGCCGCTTCCTCGAAGCTGCCAAGGCCGAGCCGCCACAGTGGCAGCGTTCAGAGCTGAACGCGAAGCTCTCGAGGTAAGCAACAGCAGTAAGCGATACATGAGATCATAGGTTGGGCCATGAAGGGACATTAACATCTATCGTCTGCTAGCGGATACGCGTTTCGTCATGGCCATAACCTCTTTCGGTCGCTGGACGGCGTTTTGGCTGCGTTAAAATGTAAAAGGGCCTCGGCCGTATCGCCGAGCCTCTGTGGCCTCGCTTTGTTGATGATGCGTCAGTTCGACTATCGGTATGTTACAGGGAACAACCGGCCGGAGTGATGGCAGTATGGAACTATTTTCCCGGGAAGTTCATAATGATGGCGTGACTCATCGATCCGCGCGCCACGTCGTACCCTTAAGAGACTGGATCCGGCCACAAGCGATTGAAGACGATTAGCGATGTACTCGTAAGAACAACGGCATAATACTACCAGCACAACTGTGGTTGTCACACAGCTGTACACAGTTCTGTACGTCACCTCCTTTTTCGGCATTAGCGGTAACAACCATTCATTCATAGGATCGATCTAAGGACAAACTACTCATGACACTGTTGGTCGATCCTGCTGGTCGCGCCCGGATGACGCCCTTGGCTCGTATCTGTTTGCGACTGCCAGACGATATTGTTTTCTTCTTCTTGGCTGTTCTCTCGTTCTCCGATTATCAGCTAATGGCGTCTTTGTCTACATCAGTATTGTTGATCATAAACGAGACCGTTAATTACACTTACTACCTAAAGCTGTTCTTCCTTTTTACAACCAGTTCTAGCGAAATTTATTCCAGAAATGGATCGCCACCATCGAGAGCATAGAGAGCACATCGCTACGAATGATATTGACTAGATATATCCTGAAATAGCTCAATGAAGCAACTATTTATACGGTACAGCGGTAGCTGCAAGAAAAAGCCGGAGTAAAATGGAAGGTAGATTCTCCAGGAAAACTATAATGAACCAATCAATACATTTGCTAGGTTTGTGTGTGTCAATTTAGATGTGTTTCCTAAGCCGACAAAAATAACGACGGAGAACGCTACCCCTTTGGCCGGTTCGGTGTGGGCTGCTAGCGCGTTGCAGGTGCGTTTTTCATTCTAGAATAGCTATACAGGAAAGCTGCTAGAGAAAGGCTTCTCAGAATTCTATAAGCCTCGCGTACTATTGCTACCCTCGCCCAAGCCCAGTTTCTTATGCCCTTCGCTTCCCGTCGCCGCCGCCACCGCCACCGCCACCGCCACCGCCGTCTCATAACCTCATCAAATACCTCAACTTCTTGTCGGCCACCCCCGCTGACGTTCTGGGCATTTTCTTCTACCCTTTCCCTTTTCGTTTTGGTCTTTTGCTGAATGTACCATGATATTTCCTGCGTCGTCAATAAAACCAGCAAGGATTTGGTCGTTCAAGACTCGGGCGCTTCATTTAATAGAAATAGTTTGGTGATCCACGTGTGGGCTTGTCCGAAGGAAAAGGATTGTTTGTCTGCCTGGCAAAGTGGCCAATGGGCGTACGAGTCAGCTGCTGACTTAGTAGCAGCTTGGCTCCATCTTGAGTTTATGTGATGACCCCTTGCCCATTTGAACTCGCTTCACCTCCGCCAGCCTCGGTACTGTGTCGCTCCGCGCGAGAGTTGGCGATCTACAGAAGCTCGCATGCGGTCGGCCAATAGTAGGCCGGTCGGTCGGTCGGTCGGTCAGTCGAAGCCAAAAACCCTTCCTTTCTCGAACGTACTCTCTTCTTTCACCCGTTCTTTCCCTTTCTCTGTTTGCTCTTAAATTCGCTTGTCTGGACGTACGCGCGTCTGTCGGTACTGAAAATCGCCCATGGCGCACACATATAGATCGACACACTCGGACACAAACGGGACCATAACCCATTAAAGGAGACCATTGGCGAGACCATGCTGGGTCACACATACACACCTGCAAACAGACTATGATTGGTCACGGCTTCAGCAGTCACTGCCAACGTCGCCGCAGCCGTCACCCGTACGATATGATAGAGGGGGTCGGACGCTGCCCTCACTCAAAATATCGACCCTCTCCAGTTCGTTCACCCGTGTGCTTGTTCCGCCAGCAAGTAGCGACCGCGCCGCGGCAGCGTGCCGCTCGGTGTGAGGGCGGCTATAAATGTGACGCGCTCTCCCTTACGCCGGTAGTATTTGTCCAAAAGGGAGGACTACGAGGCAGTTGTGCAAAGACGACGAAACTAACTGAGTAAAAACGCACGTTTCCTGTGCTCGGAAACGTAGGCGATCATCGACAACAAGAGAAACGCCACCTGGGCACTGGGCGTACATTTGGAGCAGAACAGACAGATTTAGCTGGTTTGGTGCATGTGCTATAGCAGATTGCTTGAACAGTTACATAGAGATAGGACTCTCTGAGACGTATCAGAGGGAGGAAACGGAACCGTCCGTTCAACGTGCATAAGGGGCGTGTTCTACACGTAGACGGATACGCATCGTCGTGCAGCGTGTGTTTTGGTAAGTGGTTATTCTAATTTGTACATGCAGCATTGATTATAAGTCGAGAAGGTGTTAGCTGGCGCCACGATGAGCCGATGTCCAATAACTCGCTGACTGCAAGAGTACGTGCGAAATACGTTTGCTGGAAACTAACTGAGGCCGGCCAAAACACCACGTGGAATATTGTCAGCGTTCGCGCCGAATGCAGTCTAACCTTTCGTCTTACCAGAGACCGTAAACCGCATCGTATGTGCGTGAAGTGGTGCAAAATGGAGCATGTGTCGTCGATTGTACTGTTGTTCAATGTTATCTCGAAGAGACGCATAAACAATGAGTGATAGAATAAATGATAATGATCACTCTCTCACCGAAATATTGTTTCTGCCTTCTTTATCTACATTCTATTATAAATAGAGCTAGCGTAAACATACATGTCACATGGTCGTGGACCTTTGTTTATGGCTAGCTTGACTAACATGTCCAGAACGATCAAAACGATTGTTGCCCCTACTGAAGGTAGACTGCCGCGGCGCCGGTGCCTACGTATGAGTGTATTGGCGTACTTGTAGCGTACCCCTATGGATTGAATCATACGACCTCCTTGTCGAGTCGTGAGTCAACGGCCACACGTTCTTTTCACATGCCCACTCTCGCGTTTACCCGCTCAACGATAGCAACGGTAACAAATAACAGTATTGATCCACGTCGTCTTGGGTCGTGCTACTTGTTGGCAACAACGATAACAGCGGCGGCGGCAGCAACTGCTGTAATGACCACAACGGCAGGAACTAGCGGCGTTATCATCGTCTATTTGGCACGAAATTCGAGCATCAAAAAGCTCTTTCTATTTCATCGTGGGCAAAATGCGAACGATATTCATCCTCGCTACGTCTCGCTGAGATACGTATATGCACGTACGTGTCCAGTTGAAGAATGCTGGTAAACATTTCACGAAGACATCTCGTCTCGAGCGGCGTCTATATATACGTATACAAAGACTGACGACGCTGCTAGAAACTGCATTTTTGATAACCCGTTTCGTTCGATTTTCGAAGCCCGCAAACACACCTAAGCAAATGTTCGCTGTGGTCAACTTCCGTATATTCACGTGACTGCGTACGATCGATTCAATGACGTGTGTGGACCATAGCAATAACAATGTCTGATACTCCCTAAACCCGCCGGTGATTGTGTCCGCCGATGAGTTGCAGCGGGAGCTAACTGGTTCTCAACAACAATCGAGGTTACAGGAGTTTTCAGGAGTGCTTGCTTGACCTGGTAGTCTTAGGCGTTGTTACTCTGTTCCCACTTCTTCCCATTAAATAGTAACTCAATAGTGTTATCCATTTAAAGTCATTCAGCAGGTAGCGAGGATTATAAGTGAACACAGAACATTTCGGAGATAGCGGGGAAATAAGAGGGGGAGCGGTCGGATGCGAGGGCGGTCTGCGCTAGGGATGATGTTTTGCGTCGGATGTGGGTCACGGGTGGGTTCCAACCCACGGACCCAGCTTGACACACATTGATAATCTCGGCTACTGAGCTATTGCTATACGGCCAGCGTATTTCAGCGAATTCATTATGTTACGAGCAATTGTGCGCATATAGACAAAATCATGTGAGTGCAGTACTAGCTTTGGATGCAACAGAAGCTGGCGGGGTTCCGTCTGCACCCGCTCAGAACGGTCGATGATCCCTCATGGCTGCGGGATTCTGTTGTCTTGACTAAGGCTAACACTATAATTGTATTTAGCTTATTGTAGAAGATTTAGAATCAGTATGACCGTATCGTCGCAAACGCATAAACATCCCGTGGTGGGCCCACACATGTCAAATCTCACCTAAGGTAGATGGCTTGATCCCGTTAGTTGGTTCCTGCGCAGCATCTTTGTCCCCCGGCCACTGACCTCCGATTGCTGCTTCAAGAAAATGGTCCTGGTACAGGTCCACTGTGATGATTGTTCAGTTCCCACACATTTTTCGTATACGTCCGCAGTGTATAGGCACCCATATTACAGTCACACTCCGTCCAGAGCAGACCTCCGAACTTCCTCAACTTTTGTCAGCGGTGAGGCGCCGTAGTATATAAAAACCGCACTCTGAAAACGAAAATCGCCTACAAGTAGGGGTGTAGGAACGATGCGTAGTGGATTCTCCCGTTCACTACTCTCGCCTACCTAACACGAGTTTTCTGCTGTACAAAATTGCGCTAACTAGCCACACTGTATCTTTTTCTTGCTGGCGGCCAGGTCAGAAGTTGGTTCTCAGCTCGACTCGCGGCTTCTCGCTCGTTTGGTTTGGGACTTGAGTCTCTTGCAGCGTGAGCTCGGTTTAGTGAGCGGGTAAAAGGGACAGACGTGTTTTAGGTACTCCTTAAAAAACTGAAAGCCTTCAACACTCGGTCATTGCTTCCGAGTTAAATAGCCAACGCGACAAAACAAATTCAACAGGCGAACCGCTATAGAGAGATCGTTCACCCAGCTACGGGCACTGAGAAATAGATGCCGGTACTCGAAAATCGGAGGGGCGCCCTGGAACCAACTATTGCGCCGACAGGTGGTATCTGCAGCTCGTTTAGGGGGTTTTGCCATCGTGAGCCGCTACTGACCTCGTCTTTTTTTCCTTCTTTCTTTCTTTTTTTATCGTAATGACACTGACTGTGAACACTAGTTAAAGCGTTAGGCTAGCGTCAATTCCTAGCCTTAGCACAAGCTAAGTGCGCCTAGAGAGCTAAGTGAGGAACCATTCAATAAGGTTTATCACATGATTAACACGTGCAACACATGCAAACCTAACATCTATTTTCATTTCGAAGTTTTACAGTTCGGCAAGCTTTGCATATTATGATACTCTTTACGTCGCCACCTGGCTCCCAATGCCCAATTCAAATTAGCTCGGGTCTTTTTGACGATACCAGCTCGACTGGCAGCTGTATCATTACGCTGTTGACAACTCCGGCTGCAGTATCCCGTTCAACCCAGAAAGCGGTCGGTTACCTCTATCCTCGTTCATGATTACTGTTAATGCCGCCGCTGGCGCCTTTCGTATCGTATCAAGCGTCTGCTAGGGAGGTCACTTCCTCAAGGTCGATTCGACCTCTTCCATTCGGTGATGGCGGTGCTGCTATTGCTGTCGAAAGTCCAGTTAGTAGGTCGATTGCTGGGCTGGTTGATGTGACTCAACTCATCCGCTCAGACCTTTAGCTTGTCTATGGCTAGCCTATATCCGCCCCCACGGGTCATATACACCCAGGCATGCCCTGGCAAGCCGATCGACCGCCCGCTTTCTACGGGGTGGCTGAGCTATGAGACTAAGCAAAACCGGAGGGGTGAACGAGACCGGTAGGGATGGACACGCCGGTGGCTGACCTGACCTAGATGCAGTTCACTCCCCCTCCCCCCCTCCCGTCGCCTTTATTTACCCCTCTCTGCCGGTGTTCCTCCCTCCGCTCTGTTCTGGGCTTCCCCCTCGCTGGCCTCGTGGTCGGCTTACGCTGCAAGCATAGCCACTTCCCGACCGACAGCTCCCGGAACAAAAGCACAAGCTGACCGCCGGGTCGGAGCAGCGAGGTCAGCCGTTACAGCGGGTAGCATCACGACCATTATTACTACAGGCATCATCTCGATGTTGGCTGCCGAAGGCGACGATGTTTCTCAGAGCTTATTATTACCAACGTCGCCAGCAACAGTGCCCTACATAGTAACAGTACTGGTGCCGTAGGCGTCCCACCCGTTCGATTTCTGCATTGTGCTACGCAGGCTGTACTGCCCAACTGTACACACGCGCACAACGGCTAAAACAGATAGACCGTCAGACATCAGACTATGGTTTCTAGCTGTTCTAACCGCTGTTGTGCGCCTGGTTAGCCGTAGAACGCCGTAACGATCGCCGTCGCGGAGTTGCGGGTGCAGGTCACCGAGACCAGCTCGGTGGCTAACTGTGAGTGAGAGCTCAGTCGGTTTTAATGCGAAACTATGTCAGTAGCGGTCGCGCAGCTACGGACGGTATCAGCAACGCTTCGAGCAACAGTAGTCTAGTGTGAAAGAGGGTCAAAGAACCGTTTGTAGGTCAGCGACGTCGCCGTTCTGTGCCACAGTCGTTATCAGGTGGCTATGCGATGGCTAACGATGATTATGATGATGGAGTCTGTAATGGCGGCGTCGGCGACGGCGTCGCTGTCTGGCAAGGAGGGTAAATTTGATGGACGACTGTTGCCGTTGCTGCTGCGGCCGATATAGCTATCTTCTGGCACAGGTAGGGAAAGGAGGCGCAATAACTGACTGTGGAGGTTCGTTGTTCGCTTCGGGTTGGCACTTGAGGGGAAAGGATAAAGGGATAGGAAACAAGCGATGATCTGATGACCCAGCAAATCATGATAGATCGACGTCTAGTAACTATTCGCCATTTGCTCTTTGCTTCTTGTGTGATCGCAGGTAACATGGTGTCGAACCACTCTTGTCACAAGTGTGAAGACAATAACAGCAATAATTGTGACAAGACGACAGCGACTGCAACAATGTGCGCGCTAATGATCGATGGCCAAGGACTTGAGGCGATCTTCGATGCCGGCTCATCTGATATCCTGATTGTCAAGCAGAACCGCAAGAGTCTCAAGAGTCCAACGCATATCTGCCGCATGTGCGGCTACGGCGACTTTTCATCACAACGTGTTCGTCGCCACCTAATGCTCAAGCATCATGCTGTCATGGCCAAGATCCTGGATTACGGTTCCACTAGCCCAATGCACATGCCTTCAATACCAGCTGTGCACCCAGCGAATATGCACGCCGTCCATAACGTTCTTCCGCCGGCGCACAGTGAAAAATCGTCAATCTTGGCTGATCGTCTCTCCTCAAACCGAAGCCACTTCGACTCGGAACCGGAATCGCCTCTGTCTGTTACTTCGCACAAGATGTGCGGAGATGACCTTCCTGAGGACCTTTCTGTTCATTCGGATGGATCGTCCGTGTGTCACTCGGACAACGATGAAAATGTTCAGGTGGTTCCACAATTTAAACCTCAGTCCCAATTAACAACGTACAAAGCTGGTGAGAACAAGAGATCAGTAATCGTACGAACCCCTAAGAAGGCTGTCAAGAGGTCCGCTTCCCACAACAGTAATAGCCAGGGCACTAGGCAGTCGATCTTAAAACGTCGGTTGCTTGGTCTTGGCGAAGAATTTCTAGTTGACGATCTGGAAGCGAGTGAGGCATGCCTAAATGCCAGTGAACTCAACGTAAAAATGGTCTACAGCAACTCGAAGTTTGTTATCGACTCATCTGAGTCATTCTGGCTTAAGGGGTACAAGCTACCACCTCGATATGAGTTGGCACCTACTGTTCAGTGATGATCAGTGAAGGACTTTGGAGCAATAGGCCTGCAAATGACGGTCGCGCGAAAAAAGTGATCCCACCACCCCTTGCTCGACATCTTTGCTCACCATTCTAACAGTGGTCTTGGATCATACACCTAGGTCAGGCAGCTTATTAGCCAACCTCGCCGGGTGCTAGGTCCTCGACAATACAGAGATGATCTCTCAGGAGCCGTGCCGTTTCAACGTGTCAGTATCCTTCCATTAAAAGGTACGGTCGAAACAAAGCATCGAGATCTCAGCAGCAGCAGCAGCAGCAGTGACTGTAGATGATGATAGGGAACCTTCCTTGTACAGCCAGCTATAATTAAAGGACAAAACCCGGGGGAGGAGGCGGAAGCAAAAGACGACTATTCTAAGCAGCAAAAAAAAAAACAATAAAAAAAAAGAGCTGAAAAGGAGAGGCCGTTCGCGACAGAGTTTATTTCATCGCGCACAATCTCAACTCTCGTAACGCGACCTCTATGTAGTTCGAATGGGTATGAGCGACTGGATCGACACATACCCAAAACGCGTCTGTAAACAGAAAAAAAAAAAAGAGTTGCGACTACCAGAAAGCCTTTGACCATGAAGCCAGCAGGCGTTGTTACCTAATTTGTTTAACCATTGCCACAATACGTGACGCCGTGAAGGAAGTAGGGAAACGAGGGTAGACGACAGGGCGTCGAGGTACTGATTCACATCATGCGTATGAACGCTCGTTGGGCGATTAATGTACGACAACTAAATAAGTGAAAATGTCTGAAAGTGTAAACAGAGACAGCCGAATGAGTAGAGTAAATTATAAATATGCTAATTTATTTGTTTGGCGTTACCGGACAGCTCTATCTGTTGCGAAGTCGATCGGCGTGCAGTCCATCGGGACTTGTCGGAGTCCCAAAGAGCAGACAGCATTTGTCGGCAGCGACTTCTTTTTTTGATTCGAGCACCGGTTAGTCGCCTTCCCTTCCTGTACACATCCTGTGATAGAAAGATATGTTTCGCTTCCAATTCAATATATCCGCCTTTAGTGGCACACCGTTCACTTTCTGAGTTCTCGTCGTCTTCAATTGGCAGACTAGGGGCAAAAATATATTTATTTCACCATATTTACAGATGCATAAATGGACCAAACCGTAATACACTGCATCATCATGTGATAGTGATGTGCTCCGTAGTGACAACGAGCGTGTTGTTCATCAGACGTAGCAATGGTAGTATTATACATCGTTGCCCTTGGTAAGGACGCTAAGGAGTTGCGGATATCGATAATGAAAACTGCAAGCGAGCTTTTATTTGTAAACGACTCCGCTTATCGCCTAATGATCTACAATTCACGAACGGCGCAGTTTCAATCATCGGTCGTTGAGGTTCCGTCGCTGTGCGGTTGACTGTCTACGCCGTTATGATGGCAAAAAAAATTGTGATTTCCAATTGATGCAGTATCTGTGTATTATATCCGTCGTAGTGGTAGTAGCAGTAGTAGTAGTAGTAGTAGTTAGTAATAGTAGTTAGTAGTAGTAGTAGTAGTAGTAGTAGTAGTAGTAGTAGTAGTAGTAGTAGTAGTAGTAGTAGTAGTAGTAGTAGTAGTAGTAGTAGTAGTAGTAGTAGTAGTAGTAGTAGTAGTAGTAGTAGTAGTAGTAGTAGTAGTAGTAGTAGTAGTAGTAGTAGTAGTAGTAGTAGTAGTAGTAGTAGTAGTAGTAGTATAGTAGTAGTAGTAGTAGTAGTAGTAGTAGTAGTAGTAGTAGTAGTAGTAGTAGTAGTAGTAGTAGTAGTAGTAGTAGTAGTAGTAGTAGTAGTAGTAGTAGTAGTAGTAGTAGTAGTAGTAGTAGTAGTAGTAGTAGTAGTAGTAGTAGTAGTAGTAGTAGTAGTAGTAGTAGTAGTAGTAATAGTAGTAGTAGTAGTAAGTAATAATACTCGTGGTGATCGTGGCCAACGAAAGCTGTATTAGTTTGTAAAAAAAAAAATAAGAAAAGCAACTGAAATGAAATAGATCTAAAGATGCCACCTTGCGAGAATCACTATCGAGATGTTTGTATGAGATATATGACAACGTTTTTATTATATGTCAAGTGCGAAAGAAAGCAAGTTTCGTTGAACCTTCGAAAGATTCGTCTGCACCAGGCGCTTACTTCAAGTCAAGAGAGATGGGGCAGCACACGTATGCACACAGACATATGCACATTGCTAGATAAATGACACACACTTCGGAAATGAAGCTATAGAGAGGTGTAGGCGCGAATGATTGTATATTTATATAAAGTAATTGCTTTTTTGACTTTTAATTGTACGTGAGTGGCGTTTGTCATTGTCAACGAAGAGTGTTTGAGGTCGATCACAGCGCCCTAATAGCGACAGTATACGCGGGTGTTCCATTGATAAATACCCGCAAACAAATTATCACTCATAGTGACTTCTTGTAAATATTGTAATTCCTCAATGCGCTGACAGCCCAGCTGGCGTCGATACAGTGAACAGGAGAAACAACAATGCGAAAATTCAATACATCATATACAAAATTTAAAGTTGTCATTGAGAACAAAGGGCAATGTATGCAGATGTATATACACATGCATGCATGCATATATATATATATATATGTGTGAAAAAAAAAAAAAAGGGGTGATAAGACAGAGTTGAAAAATAAAACATTTTTGTACTTAATATATAACATAAACTTGAGTGTTTTGCCTATGTAATTAGATGAAAATGACAAATAGTCTTTTTACAAATAATTCCGGCGTGGAAGTGATTTTAAGTCTTGTAATAATAGTAGCTCGGATCAAAATTTCAATGGGAGTGATATTTGCTCGCCAACTTTTACAGCAGCCTGCTCCGACGATGCCAGGTACCCAGGTCCTAGTAAGTAGTAATAGATAGCCACGTGTCTCTCTTTTTTTTTTTTGCTTGCACTTACTTAACCATACAATTTTTTTTTTAAAGTTTATATAGCTCGTTTGCGTAGTGCATTGCTGGGTAGAAAGTATAGGATTCGAAAAATGTTCATTCCCATATAATTCACTAGATGGTTAAGTTTTTGTGGCTATAGGAACTTATCACGGTTACTGTTTTCTACTACAACCGGTTTATACTACCCTTTATGACTGCCAACGACTCCTGTCAGAGTCAATCGATTGGTCAGCGCAATAAAGTTACTAGCTAAATTCAACACAATGTGTCAAAAGTTCGTAGCGCAAAAGCTTCCGGCACGGAGTGCTTGCTCGCTCGCTCGCTCGCTTGCTTGCTTGCTTGCTTGCTTGCCGGCGTCCGTCGTTCCGGTATTCGCCTACTGATGGCTAAAAGTCGGGGACTGGCAGAATTGTGTTACGGCACACGTCGTTAGTTTACTGGGTCAGCTAGAGAGAGAAAGATAGCCAGCAGCACACAAATAGACGTATACGCAGATTGACGAACATAAGATAAACTACAACGGTGGCGATGGCTAACGGGATGCGTCGCTAGCGCCGGCGGTCGTTTTAGCGGCGGCGGCGGCGGCGGCAGCAGCAGCAATGCAGCTCTTCCGCGATGCGGCATCGCGTCGGCTCCACCTGACGGAACCGATTCCGCCATCAGCGGCCGCCGACGGCTCCTTGCGGAACAGACAACGCAGACCTGTTGTATCCAAACATTCACAGGCACTCAGAGCTGTAAAGACTCACGCACGACCACGCATTCTGGTGGGTACTACCGTTCCGTTCGTTGTTTGGCCTAATATTGTTGGAAGTCAGTGGAACTTCGCGGATCGCACAGGCCTGTTGGCTCTAGCAGTCGTCTAGCGTATTTTGTGAAAGGAAAACCGAAAAAACAAGTGGGTATACGTATGTGAGCTGATGTTATGGCAGTTTTCAGAATATTACCCAATTTTATAAAACTGCAAAACACCAATGGGGTTTCGCCTTAAGCATAATTTCGTTTGGGACACGCTGATCAATTGGCTGCTGGCAACGAGCAAGGTTCTTTTGGGGCGACAATATCGACGTCTTCAGATCTGAAAGCGATCATCTACCGACAATTTTTATAGCTAACGCTTAAGGGTTTATACATCCAGATTAGTAAAGGCCAGCTATCCCTATTGGTAAAGGCTCAGAGAGCTTTAAAATTCCCATAGTGAATGTATTTGTGATACTATTGTCTGAGTAATGTGATGTAATAGTGACTCAGTTCAATGTACGATTATATTATTTCACTCATTTGCTCCCTACGACGAAAAATTGCGCCTCATTTGTTTGAGACCATTGGCTACACTTAGACGGATGGGACAGCTTCTCTAACAGGTATTCGTAGCGTTATTTTGATAAGTTAATTTTCTTTTTTAGAAATGACGACATGAAGAAGATAATCTTCGGTAAGACTATCTGACTGTCTTGAGGACCTTGGCATCGGCCGTGAGGCCAATGGATTGATTCTCTCCGTTTTTGACATTTGAACTATAGTATTACAATTAAGACAGGTACTATTTATTGTACCACTAATAGACCTCTAACAAAGTGACAAATGTTTCGATGCTGGAGTCTTTCGGAAGGCGTACAGGCGGCGTGAAGGTGCGCTCGTTCGGAAGTGGCTATTCTCAGAGCAAAATAGACTGCAAAGCTTCAGTCCACTGATTCAGTAGCTTGATGTACGTGTAGATATGTATGTAGAGTTCCATAGGCCGCAAAGTTTAATAATTAAGCGGAAACAACTTGTAAAAAGAAAGGTACGTTTTCATAGCCTCTATGTGATATTTGTGCAGGTAATATGACAATGCCGATATATTCACATCGTCACGATGTTGTCGTTTTCCAATAACGAGTTTTGGCATAAAAGGTGACTCGGATAGGCGTTTGTATCTGTCATCTTTCTGGGTAATCAACTTAAGGGTAACCTAATTAATATTCCTCAAGTAAACATCATAACTTTCGACACGAACTTCACTTTAGATAAATAGCATTTAACTGGCGAGCTAGTCATTAGCGCCAAATTCAAATAGTAGACGTATGCAATGCTTATTCCTTTTCTAAGCATATCCTTTTTTAAAAGATGTCAGATTCGCATCAACCAGCTTCTGAACGGGCACTTCACAGCTCTCAAAAAGCGCCAGCCGTCTTCGACTGTTTCGGACAGTTCAGTATGATACAGGATGATGATGATACAAATGGCCGGCATCTACGAGAACCATCAGGCTAGACCGTAGCTTAGAACATGCTCTACAATTGGCAGAGTTGTATTGTAGGCTTTCTCTTTGATCAACGAAAAAGCTGATTTTAACTGTATGCTAAACGTTGTACTCAACCGTGGCTCAGATTTTGTCGAATCTAAATTGGGAAAAAAATGAGACTAAATTGAGTGATAAAGCTTTAAAGCTGGTATGTTTGAAGGCAAACCTGAGAGATCGATCCGGACAAAAATGTCAAGATGAAAAGCCCTGTCTATGAATAGTGAGTGATCAGTATATAGCCCCTTGACGAGACATCGATGTGGAACAACTATTTATCTAGATATGATTCAAGTGCCTGGAAAGGTAGGCGTTTCGTTCAAAGGTTACTTGACTGATAAACAAGGTACTG